CCACTCCACGTTGCAGACTATGGTGTAACACTTACGTCCAGTATTACACGCACACCTTTTCAGTTTCCTGTTTTGGTGACTTTTAATACATGCCACTTACACATGTCTAAAGGAAACTCTTTCATTGATGTCTGTAGCCACCTACGGCACAAAAAGCCAGGTGGCTTGTGCGTGCTCTTCATACATCAGGTAGAGGGAGGAGGTTTTCCAGGCTAATGAAACATGATGATGCCAAATGGTTAGTGAAGAGTGATGGAGTTAGAAAGCAGTTTTCGTGTGCGATCAGTCGTTCTGATTCACAGAGCCTGATGGCTCTACCCCGCCTGCTGACCACCTCGGTTGACCCGGCTGCAACCCCAGTCGGTCCTTTTATTTATCTGATTTCCTTATGAGTCCATGGGGTGTGTTCCTCACAAGCTTGACTTCTTTTCGCCTAACCGAGCTGCACTAGGGTTGCTCACTTTGCTTTGCCTTTGCCCCCTCCCAACTACGTGCAGGCATTTGCAGCAACTGATTTGTTTCAAATAAATGTGGGTAATCTTGCCTGTGAGTCTCCTTTTTGAGATTTCCTTCTGCATATTAATTTTGGAAGATTTCCAAAAAGTCCTCAGTAAAGAAATCTGTTTTCATTTGGTTTAACCCAGTGGTTTCCCGGTTTGCAATCCCTACCTTCCTCTCACCCCGGCAGGGACGCACATAGGGACGCCTGATGTCTGAAGGAGCACGGTTAGGGAAACTCTGCCTCCACCTACAGAGAGAACGCCACGTTCCCTCTAGCCCTCGTCTTGGCTTCCCTTCAAGCCCTTGAATTTTTTCTTTCTTTTATTCATAGTTTTTTTGGGGGTATAATCAATATTATACATGTCATTTGTGAAGTTTACAATTCAGTGAACTCCTAACTCTTTTAAAATTGTGGTAAAATAGACATAATTTAAATGTACCATTTTAACGACAGTTTTGTGGCATTTTGTCCATACACAATATTGCGCGACCTTCACCACTGTCTAGCCCCAGGGTATTTCATTACCCCAGAGGAAACTTTGTACCCGTTATCAGTCATTTCTCCTCCCTACCCCCAGCCCCTGGGAACCCCCATTCTATTTCCTACTTCTATGGATTTTGCTAGTCTGGGTAGCTCATGTAAGTGAAACCACACAGTATTTGTCCTATTGTGTCTGATGTATTTCATGTAGCATGCCTTCAAGGTTCATCCATGTTGGAGCATGTCACAGAATTTCCTTGCTTTTTAGGTCAGAATAGTATTTCACCGCGTGTATATACGACGTTTTGTTTGTCTATTCATCTGCCAATGAACACGTGACTTGCTTTCACCTTTTGACTGTTGTGAATAATGCCACTATGAACGTGGGTGTACAAATATTTGAGTCTCTGCTTTCACTTCCTTTTGGCATAGGCATGGGAGTGGAATTGCTGGATTATAAAGTAATTCTGTTTTAAGTTTTTTTTGAAGAACTGTGATATAATTTTCCACACTGGCTGCACCATTTTATATTCCTGCCTGCAGTGCACAGGGGTTCCAGATTTTCCAGATTTCCTTGCCAACATTTGTTATTATTATTATTTTTTATTGCTATCCTGGTAGGTGTGAAGTGCTGTCTCGTTGTGACTAAGATTTGCATTTCCCGGTGGTCGGTGATGTTGAGCATCTTTTCATGAGCTTGTTGGACATCTGTATATCTTCTTTGGAGAGATGTCTATTCAAGTCCTTTGCCCCTTTTTAAACTGGTGTTTTTGTTTTTTGTTGTTGACAGACTCCTAATTCTTAACAGATATGATGCTCTCACTGTGATGAACTTGACTTCTGAGAAGATACTGGCTGCATTCATTTCTCTTCTGCTTTCCTAGGCCCCTCATGATTCTCCAGCGGTCATCATTTCTTACATTCCTAGCTTGTCCTGTTCTCAGGCTGGACCTAAGAGTTCATTCCCTCCCATCCCTTCCCACATTCCATATCATGGACTTTCTTCTTTTCAGCTGTTGGTACTGTGGAGGGGGAGATTTTATTGAAGCCAACTGCCATGATCACCTTCCTTTTCCTTCCTAAAGGAGTGTCATCTGCTTTCTGATTTTAGCCACAGTAGCTTGGCTGAAGTTGCATTTTGGAAGTTCAAGGCTTCTGGCTCCCAGATTTCCTGTAGAATTGACACTGGTGACTGCCCTTCGTTCTTGAGGCTCCTTTGGTCTCTGGGACACTTCCCTGTGATGCCATAAAGGGGAACAAGCAGGAGGGTTTATGGTGCAGACTTTGGGGTGCATCACCTGGCTTCAGATGCTGTCTTTGCCCATGAACTCACTCTTGGTCCCAGGCTGGTAAAGTCACCTGTGGGATTTCTCCTTAGTGAAAGAGGACATTAGCACCTACCTTGCAGCTGGTGGTTCGTTGGGAAATCACATGAAAAGTACTTAGAACAGTGACTGGCAGAGAGGAAGTGTTAACAAGGTTAGCCACTGTTGGGGCATTAAGCTGGTTTTGCCCGTGTGTTCAGTCGATCCCTTTTCACCTCCATTTCCCCTCAACCTTTTGTTTTCTAAATTCTGTTCTTTGCTCTTCATTGTTCTGTTCCTGGACAATATCCCAGTCTTGCCATTTTAATGTTCCTCTTTACACAGGAGATTCCAACCAACTCTCTACCTTTTATTTATTCATTTATTACTTATGTATGTTTGTTTATTTAAGATGTAAGAAAGCATAGGGTACAGAGGTGCTAGGATGTCTAAATGCTAGAAGATGATACATCTTCCTAGCGACTTGCAGGTGGTCTCTCGGACTTTAAATGGACTGTAAAATAAGTGACTTACAAGCACCACTTTGAAATACTAAACATTTTCATTTTAAACCAACATTACTGGTATTATAACTATATGTGCTTCTGCACATCAGTGTAATTGTACACAGATTTAAGAGGAAGTGATAGGTCATTTATACTAGTTACAAAACAATAAAACCAGGAATTAACATGAAGTTTAATAAAGATCATTTATAATTCTAACCACTTAGAAATAAGAAAATTAACTATGAGGTCAAAGGAGAAATTACATGTGCAATAACAGATTATTTATAAAACAAAACTAATGAGAACACTAGACATGATAGAGGAAGACTTTAAAATCCTTATTATAAATACGTTAAGCAGACAAAGACTTTAAAATTGTTATTATAAAATACGTTAAGTAAATTAGGGGAAATGATAAACCAAATGGGTGAAAAGATGGAGAAATGAACATAAACATGTAATCTCTTTTTAAAGTTCATATAAACTTATGGGTTACACATGCAGTTTGGTTACATGCATAGATTGTGTAGTGGTCTGGTCAGGGCTCTTAGGGTGGGTATCCATCGCCCGAATAACACGTATCTTACTCGTTAATTTCTCATCCACCCCCTCACCCTTCTGAGTCTTTGTTGTCTCTCGTTCCACTCTCTACATCCATGTGCACATGTTTTAGCACCCACTTAGGGATGCTCTCTCAACATTTTAGTGGGAGGAGTCTTGTAGCACAAAACGGTGCCTAAGGATGTATTTCCTGGAGGACGTTTCCACCCTTGTCATATCACTCCACATCAGCTGCCACTGGCTCATACACAACCATGTCAGAGATGGAAGAATTTGACCTTTCACCAGTTTCTGTGAAATACATTGCTTTGAAGATGAAATCACAAATGTCACCCTCTACAGGGGACCTAATGGGACCATGTCAAGGGATTACATCTTGAGCAGATATAAGTCTTTAGAATGGTCTAAATTATGACCTGAGTGCTTACTAGTCCCTGGATTCTATGAAGTACTTGTCTGATTTTCACAAAATCTTTAGGAAGTGGTTAGTAGTAGTCTTTCATTTTATTTTTCCTTTCTTATTTTTAGAGAAAATCAAGTCTTAAGAGGTTAACTATGGCCAAAGTCTTGTAACTAAAAAGTGGTTGACTTGAGATTCCACCCAGTTCCCTTGGATTCCACATGTAGAACTCTTAACATCCTTTTTTCTTTTTTGAGACAGAGACTTACTCTGCTGCTCAGGTTGGAGTACAGTGGTATGTGATCTTGGCTCACTGCAACCTCCGCCTCCTGGGTTCAAGCGATTCTCCTGCTTCAGCCTCCCAAGTAGCTGGGTCTACAGGCCCCCGCCACCCCACCCGGCTAATTTTCGTATTTTTAGTAGAGACGAAGTTTTACCATGTTGGACAGACTGGTCTCGAACTCCTGACCTCAAGTGATCCGGCCGCCTCGGCCTTCCAAAGTGCTGGAATTACAGGTGTGAGCCACCGCGCCCAGCCTTAACGTCTTGATTATATTCTATACGTGCCATTTCACATTGTCTATTTCTCATTTTTCTTGTTCTTTTTTCTTTTCTATACTGATTAGATACACTGGAGCTTAATCCATTTTAGAGTGTGAGTGCATATTTATCAGTAATATTATGTTTTAATATTTGAATTAATTCAATCCTGCTTTTTAATTTTATTATTCCTGCTAGTTTCTTAAAACTTTTTATAACTTTCTGTAACTTCTTAGAATTTGTTTTCTAAATTCTTTGAGAGCTTAGTCTTTTTCTTTCTTTCATAATGAACATGCTTAAGTCTAAAGCTGCCTCTGAAAGCAACTTTGAATACATTAAAGGAATCATATCTAGTGTTCTCATTAGTTTTCTTTTCTAAATAATCTGTTATTGCACATGTCATTTCTCCTTTGACCTCATAGTTAATTTTCTTTATTTTTAAGTGGTTGGAATTTTAAAATGATCTTTATAAAACTTACCGTTAATTCCTAGTTTTATTGTTTTGTGACTGGTATAAATGGGCTATCATTTTTCTCTTAAGTCTGTGTACAGTTACACTGATGTACAGAAGCACATATAATACCAGTAATGCTGGTTTAAAATGAAAATGTTTAGTATTTGAAAGTGGTACTTATAAGTCACTTATTTTAGTGTAAGCTTGAATTTTTTCCAACTGATTTTGAAAATTTAAATAGAATATATATTCTCAATAAAAATTATAGAGCAAATGACTAGTTTTGGTTTTTGTGGGAAAACGGTCCCAGCATATTCTGTAATAACCCACACTCAAAGCTAGATACCTGTGAAAAAACTGACGTGTTTTAAATGGAACAGGAGGCCTCTCTGACACACCCATCAATGTTTAGCAATCTTAATTCACAATCTTAATGAGCTTTAAAAAAGTGTCATATTTTAGCTGTGAATCACTTCACATTAAACTCTGTGATTTTCCTGCCAGAGTTATCTTTAGTAAACACTATGTATTGGCAGCCAGATTTGGAGTGAAGTGAATGTGAGTGAAGCTGGAAGCAGATTCTGCAGGAAACCCAAAGGTTGGAGGGGGGTTTTCTGAGCGTCGGAGTCTTAGGTCTCTCAATACCTCCTTTGACACTCCTGGCCACACTGTTCCACCACGCCCATTACAGCGACTCACTCGGAACTGCTTGGGAATCAGTGACTTGGGTGAGTGCAGTCTCTCTTTCACATATTGCTGGCTTCCTCCATCAACCCATATAGCATCTGTGCTGCGTTTATGCTTTCAAGTGAGAAACAGTGAAATACACAAGGGGATGGCCTGCACTTGTCTCCAGGATGGTGTCTGCAAGTCAGCGTTTTCTTTCATGTTAAATTGAGTGGGGCGAAACTCATTTGGTTTCAGCGAAGGTAGTTTCCGTGTATTCACTTCAAAGCCGGGATTGCCGAGAGTGGTGACCAGAAGAGAGAAGGCCATGGGGAGGTAAGGTGAGGCAGGACTACTAGAGGGTGGGGCAGGGCTCAGCTCAGTGGCGATGTTTCCTCAGCAGCCTTCAGGCCTTTCATCCCATCATTTCTCTCCTCTGATAAGTGTCTCTGCTTTAAGAGTGTTTGCCAGACAGAAATAAAAATCGATTGGGGGAAAATTATATGCAAAAAACCATTTTCCTTTCAAAATATTCCTAGAGAAGAGAGGAAGCACGCACGGACATAATGCCATCTAATGTTGCTATTACTGCATTTGCTGCTTAGCAAAGTACATAGAAGGCACATTGCAAATATTCAGGTATTAGCTGTGTTGAGAAATTGTTTTCATTTAGTAAATGTATTAGTTTGCCGGGGCTGGCATAGCAAAGTAGCACAAACTGAAAGCCTTAAATAACAAAAATTTATGGTCTCACAGTTCTGGAGGCTGAAGTTGGAAATGAAGGTCTCAGCAGGGTGAGTTCTTCTGAGGGCGCCGAAGGAGAATCTGGTAGGTGCGTCTCTCCTGGTTTCTGCTGGTTAATGGCAATATTTGATGTTCTGTGGCTTGTGGAAGCATCTCCCTCATCTCCACCTTCATCTTTACGTGGTGTTCTCTGTGTGTGACTGTCTGTGTCCAAATTTTCCCTAATTGTAAGGACAGCAGGGATATTGTATTAGCGGCCCACCCTACTTCAGTATGACCTTCTGTTAATGAATTATCTCTGCAAAGATCCTATTTCCAAATAAGGTCACATTCTGAGGTAACTGGGGTTAGGACTTCAGCACATGAATTTCAGGGGAACGTAAATCAACCCATAACAGTGAAGATTTATTAACTCACTTTAGGAAGCTGATATTTATTTAGGAAGTAAATGTTTATTGAGCATCCATGATGTGACATGCATGAGGTATTGAGATTTAAACAGATAGGCTTAAATATTTTCCTGTATCCAAGTCACTTTCAGTAAAGAAGTAGAGAGACATAACTTAATAACTAGAATACGACAGAGCTATATGAAGGCATTTACGAGGAATAGAGTTGGTACCAAGAAAGGGGATGCTGGTGAAGCCTGCTTTTTAGGGGAGGTGTCAGGGAAATGTCACTGAGGGGGATACATTTGGGCTGCATATCAAAGCGTTAAGAGGAGCTCCAGGGCAGTCTGGACAGAAAGCACGGCGTGGAGATCTGACATGAAAGGGTGTGTTCGCAGGACTTTAAGCCATCTTATACGGGAGAGTGGTGTCTACTGGGAGGTGATGGATTGCCACTGTGAAGTTTCAAGTGTTGGAGTGAAACTACTGGACTTGTGGTTTTGAGAAGTTCTACCTGACAGTCTGATGGCTGGCATGGAGCTGGAATGTCAGGTACCTCTTATTTTTCGTGTCCATCCTGTTCTATTCTACCAGTAACTGTCTGTCTTTTCCAGCATTTCCCGTGTCTTCCCTTACCCTTTACGGTAAATCTGCAAAAGGAACAAGCTGGTAAAAGCACTTTTGGGAGACTGGGGAAAGGAATATGAATATTCCTATGCTAACTATTGTCTGGCCCCAAGTAGGCTATTGGTGACCTTTGGTATGTTCAGATAAGCAGTGGGAGTGGAGGCCAGAGTACAGTGGGTTGAGGATTAATTACTTGGTGGATGAGGCGGTACGAGTGGTGAGTACAGGCTCTTTGTGGCAGAAGCTTGATTTGGAAGGGAAAGAAAATAAGAGGCTGACTAGGAGATGCCAGGTAATTGAGGTAAGGTCTGTTGAATGTTTTTTGGGGGTGAAATTTTATTTTGTGTTAATAGAGTAGAAATTTACAAAGGAAATGGCCCTTATTTTAACAGAAAAATCAATACCATTTGCATCCCTCATTATTAATATGCACTGGAACTTCATCCATTGGACCTGGTGAAGAAGGCAGTCACCGTCTCACCAGGCTGGAAACCTGGATGTTGGAATGTGGACATTTCCTACTAGAGTGGCTTGAAAATCCCCTTGGACCATTCTGGTGGTAGGGATGGGTGTGTAAATGTGGGTGCTCCTTGAGAGGAAAGAATGAGCCAAGAGGGATGGAGCCCGGGGATGCAGGGAGAAAGTGACCTTTGTTTTATGGTTATGCAGTCTATCCAGCTTATACATTTCAGATGATTGATTCAACAGACCTTTGTGTATCTCTTCCTACTTCTTTCCCACTGAGCTAGGTAGGTCCTGGGGTTCCTGTGAGTCCTGGGGCTGTAGTCAGGCAGTTGCAATATCTCATCATTCTCATGCTAAGTTTTTCCTGACCTGAACATTTCCACTGGAAAATGATGATTGCACTCTTCTAATAGAAGGCTAAGCGATTTAGATCTAGGAGCAAGGAAATAGTGGCTGTGGTTCCTCCAGAAGGGGAAGAGGATGTAGACAGGTTATTTTTTGTAATGACATTCATTTTCCTTGGTTCTTTGCTTATGTGACACCTGGATGTACAAGATGGTTAACAGAATATTGCTATGGAGGCACTTTGACAAGTTCTGAACTACCATCTGGGTGAGAGTATTTGTAACCGGCACAATACTTATACATGTATGGCCACTGTGAAATTGGTTTCTAAGGGGCGATGTTATAATTTGCTTTCTTAAGTGCATTGACTACAAAGACATCTCCTAAACTCTTTGTAAACTTACCAGAAACCCTTGCATACCCATGGATGAAGCCAGAGCTTTTCAGTGGCTCAGATTTCTCCTTCTAACAGTGCTTGAAATTCCTTCCACAGAGAATGAAGCTTTTAATTCTAGAACCAGTGTTCAGATTGTGCAAAGGCATGGATTTAAGGTAACAGCTATTAACATTGGCAAGGTTCTTTCTATTGTGCAAATTGCTTTCACATATATTTGGTATATTTTGCCCTCCAGACAGTCCTTGGCTTCATTATTGTGTAACTTGTTTTCTGTTTGAAGAAATGGAGGCTTAGCAGTTTAAGAAAGCTGATTAAAGTCAAATGGCAAGGATGGGATATGTGATGGAGCTCTAAGCACTGGGTGTCGGCCTCTGTAATATTTGTGCATGACTGACTACACAGCTCTCCTTCTGAGTCAGTGACTTTTAAGCTCTTTGGAACCACAGTAAATTCCTTTTACCTGATGACTCAGTACACACATATGACCCACCAAACAGTACTTGCCTTGACCATTCCCCAGGCCTTCTAATATTTTATTCTACCCAATTCTGTTTTCTTTTCAATGTCTGGTCTTATTAAATTGACTTGGTGATGCAGTAATGGGTCATGATGCAGAATTTGAAAAAAATTACACTCAATTCCTTCCCTAAGAGGTAGAGGAAGGTCAGAAATGGAGGATGGTGGGAAAGGAATGGGGTGTGTGTTTTTCCAGTGTGGTGTGGGAGGGAAATGGCCTCTCGCAGTCCACTTGTGAGAACTGCTCCCATGTTCCGATCCGACTTCAGAGGTGGGAAAACGCTGGGAGCTGTTGAGGTGGGTGGGGAACATCACTGTCTGCTGCACCTCTCGTTTCTTGCATTTAGTCCACTTTTGTGGTCATCGTTGTTGTGCTGGTTGGCTCTGGCCAATTCTTCCTTCTGGTTGCTAACTCTCTTCATATGTCTACTGTTTTCCCGGGGGCTGCTCACATCTGTAAATGACACTCTAGGTTGTACAGTCTTGGAGGTTCAAGTGGAGTCTTTTGGCAGCTGTGCAGGCCAGCGTTTGCATCCCTGCAGGGGCTGCAGGGGGCCTTAACACTCCCCTGTCAGTGCCTGGTTCTCTGATCCTGGCCGAGCATCTTGGTCTCAAAGTGTTGCCCGAAGTCTGGACTTGGAAATCTGCTTCAGGCCAGGCCAGGTGATCTTGAACCTGAAAAACAGAAGTCATGACGTTTGCTCTATATCTATCAGAAAAACAACTCAAAGCACATTCCCTGTTCATGTCGGGGCAGTAAAATCTTCCCATTTTCCCAGAGACAATGCGTTATGGCAGGCCAGAGGAAGCTCTGTAATCACCCTAGAGAGGAAAACGGCAGGCGTAAGAAAGCATTCATCACCTCAAGGTAGAAATCACCCACTTTTTATAAGAATGTCCCACTGTGAAATCAGAATGTTCTACCATGCCATCTGCAACGAAATTGAAGGCCCCCAAAAGCCCACAGTCCAAAAGACATGATAGTGTAAGATAAATGGCAATGATTGCAATTAACAGTGGCAGTCTCTCAAGAGTGGGCCTGCCTGCGGGACCTGTGTTGATATTTGGATTTGGATTTTTGCTTGTTTATAGATTTTGGGGGTCATCTTTTGTTAGGGTTGGGAGGTAGCTGTGTGTGGTGAAATCCATGGATTTTCCCCACAACTAGAGGAAATAGCAGGTTGAGGGCAAGATGTGCCACAGAGAGTGAAGGTGTGTGAGTCAAGAGACGATCTTGTGGAGGGATGGCTGCTTCTGAGAATCTCTTCTGCCATATTAGCAAATCATGGATGCATTTGAGTTTCCTGTGTGGACATCCATGGTTTGTTATTGTGTCTATACTACTTTCTGAATAGAGATCATCTTCCATGCTCTTTTTTTGTTTTTTTTTGAGATGGAGTTTTGCTCTTGTTGTCTAGGCTGGAGAGCAATGGTACGATCTCCGCTCACTGCAACTTCTGCCTCCTGGGTTCAAGCAATCCTCCTGCCTCAGCCTCCCAAGTAGCTGGGATTACAGGCATGCGCCACCACGCCCAGCTATTTTTGTATTTTTTTAGTAGAGGCAGGGTTTCACCATGTTGGTCAGGCTGGTCTTGAACTCCTGACCTCAAGTTCCACCCATCTCGGCCTCCCAAAGTGTTGGGATTACAGGTGTGAGCCACCGCACCTGGCCGCTTCCATGCTTTTAATCCTCACATACCTATTTCCTGGGACCAGCTGGCTAAATGCTGGGATCTGTGTTTATTCACCTCCAACTGTCAGTTCTGTGCATGTGCTGTTTCCTTGTCCTTCTTCTCTGCATAGCTTTTTTATTCCCTTTGATACTCCAAGATTAGAATCTTTGCTAGGGCCGGGACTGTATCTTTTGCGTTCTCTTGTCCCCACAACTAGGATAGGACATTTTATGTTGTGGAACTGACAAGTTTCTGAAATTTCCATCCATGGACATGATCCACCATAAACCACAGAAGTTAAGTACTGGAATGTTTACTCTTGGGCAATTTGCTCAATATCTCTAAGCCTCAGTTTCTCATCTTTAGAGCAGGGATGATAATAGCACATGGAATCATTGTGAAGTTAATTGAGAAAATGCATGTAAAGAATTTAATGCAATGCTTGACACATAAGAGACATCACTCCATTGTTGATATACCAACTTCCTCAAGAATTTAACAGAATGAACCAGGATAACAAGAGTGAGACCATGCTGTGGCCTGGAGAGAGGGCATGCAACTGCAGCTGTACTGGGAGGGGCTGTGAAGAAGGAGCTGAGCAGAGAAATGTGGCTGTAGCCAGGAGAAGCCAGGGCGAGGCATCCTGGGAAGAGAAACCCCAACCGCTTTCCTTGTTGTTGCTTCCCAATGACCAGATCCAAACCCCCTGTTGTTGCTTCCCCATGACCAAATCCAGAGGACACTGGCCAACAAGGCAGCCCCAGATGATGGCATTCACAGGAGACAGGCTCCTGTGGCTTAGATAAGGACTGGCACATCTTCTCGAGGGGCTGTGCACACACCTTATTGTTGCCCACGAATTCCCTGTTTTCCACCAGAGTCCTTGGCCTGACCAGTCCTTCCTTCTGTATAGGATCGCAGGATCCTGGGACTGGAAAGGACCCTGTGATCACTCTCCTCACCCAGTCCCTTCATACAGAGGAAAGATCGAGGTTGTCTCCAGTGTGGTCTTGGTGGCGGTCAAATGACGTTCTTTTTATTGGTGTTGCCAGAGTCTGCTGGGGAGCAGAACACACAGAGCATGCTCAGAACGTGGTGGTGGAAGGGACCCGCTGTTTCTCATGATTTTTAGCCTTTACAGCGGCACCACATTTTTACAGTGAGCCACGTGTTGTCTTTCTCATTCATGGGACTGTTGCTTGCAAGTGTCTTCCTCTTAGTGTCTGTGTTTTTGGAGCGACTCTGCCCTCGAGAACAGGGGACCTGTGCTGTACTCCTCTTGATCCCCTTGGACATTTACTATCAGGGCCGAGCACATGGGGCCAGCACATACTTTCTGAATTAAATTTCACATGGATTACCTGGAAAGCTGTAACTTTTTCTGAGTCCTAAAACCGAGGAGCACTGTTGGTTCCTCCCTTTTCCTTTCTAGGGTCATTGTGGCAGATGTCTGTTCCTGCACTTGCGGCTCCATGAGAGGAGAAAAGCCCCCTTCCTCCCAGCAGGGCCATGGCCACGCTGATGGGCAT